TGAATCACAAATGAGCTTAATCTGTTCTAGGCATGGAGAGTGTGGAACCAAGAGATGGCACTTGAACTGATCGATACATTAGTCGAGGACTCATGCAGTTTACCTGAAATATTCAGATGCATCCAGGTGGGTCTCTTGTGTGTGCAACAACTCCCAGATGACCGGCCGAACATGTTATCAGTGGTTATGATGCTGAGTGGTGAGAGTGCACTGCCTCAACCAAAACAGCCTGGTTTCTTGATAGAAGTACATAATGAAGGTCATCCCTCATCAAGCAAGAATGAATCTTGTTCAGCCAATGAGATGACTGTTACATTGTTGGAGGCTCGTTAGTAGATTTCCATGTTGCTCCCACAGAATGGACTGATCAATACTGGTAAATGATTGATAGTTTGCTATTTTATAGTATGTGAAAGTTATTAATATGTACAAAATAGTGTTCTCATTTAAGAAATAGAGCTTATGCGAAGAAGCAAGGCATCTTGAACTGATTCATGCATTATTATGGATTTGTGCAGCTTACCCGACAAATCCATTAACATCTATAATTCCTTGTAAATGATTATCTTAGGTCTCTCTCTCTCTCTCTCTAATAAAGTCGAACGAATTGAATTTTGGAGGCAAAGAGTGGTCTAGATCATTTCTTGACCAAAAACAGTATCATTTAACGGACGACGTTATCTCAAACTATCTCGAGCTATTGATGTATAAGATCGTTTAATCTGATAACGTACCACATTAATTCTATTGAAATATTTTTATTGTTCAAATTTATAGTTTCTAAATTTGATATTCCAAAATTTAATTCTCTCAAATTTTTTTCATAAATCAAGCAAATTTCTCTCTCTCATCTCATTCCTCCGTATCTCTCTCTTACGCTCAATTCATGCAAAAAAGTATCAATTTTCAACAATATTTTTTCTTTGTATCTCACAAAAATATTAGAAAGTATCTGATTCAAGTAAATATTATATCTCTCTGTAGATAGATAGTATATATACAAGAAATATTTTCTTTGTATCTCTCTCTAAAAAAAATTATGTAATAAATATTAAATGGATAGTATATATTACAAAAATATTTATCTGTATCTCTCTCTTTCATTCAAGCAATAATACAAGCACGAATCATACCAATTCAGTAATCAATTTTTTTTTTTCATAATCAATCAAAAAAAGCATTACTTCAAAAAATCTAATTTAACAAAAAAATTTACTTAACATGTGAAATATACAAAATTAATTTAAGTTATTGAATAACTCAGATATCAAGATATATATTAAAGAAATATGCTTAACATTTAAAATATACAGAGATTAAATTCATATATAAACACGAATAATACAAATTCAATATTTAGTGAGCACACAAAGCAACAATATTTACTAAATAATTCAAATCTAAATACCCGAAAAAAATAATATAAAATTACAAGTGAAAAAAACGATACAAAATTATAAACAATACTATGAACACGAATCATATAAATTTAATATTTAGTGAACAATACGAAACAACAATTTTTACTAAATAATCCAATATTAAATAACGTTTATTTTTAAGAAAATATACTAAAAATATAAATAACGGAGAAAAATTATATAAATTAAAAATACTACTATAAACTCAAATCATACAAATTCAGTAATTAATTTTGTTTTTTTCATAATCAATAAAAAAAAAGCATAATTTGCAAAAAATCTAATTTAACAAAGAAAATATGCTTAATATGTAAAATATACAAGATTAAATTCAACTTATTGGGCAACTCAAATATCAAGAGATATATTAAAGAAACTATGCTTAACATTTAAAATATATAAGATTAAATTTTTATACAAGCACAAATCATACAAATTCAATAATTAATGAACAACACAAAACAACAATATTTACTAAATAAATCAAATCTAAATACTTGAGAAAAATGATACAAAAGTATAAGCGATAGAAACAATACAAAATTATAAGCAATATTATTAACACAAATCATACAAATTTAATATTTAGTGAACAATACGAAACACACAATCTTTACTAAATAATTCAATACTAAGTAACATTTAGTTTAAGAAAATATATTAAGAATATAAATAACGGAGAAGAATGATATAAAATTAAAAGCACTATTATAAACTTGAATCATACAAATTCAATAGTCAATTTTGTTTTTTCCCTAATCAATAAAAAAAAGTATAATTTACAAAAAATCTAATTTAACAAAGAAAATATGTTTAACATATAAATATACAAGATTAAATTCAAGTTATTTGACAAATCAGATATCAAGAGATATATTAAATAAAATATGTTTAACATTTAAAATATACAAGATTAAATTCATATACAAACATGAATCATATAAATTCAATATTTAGTAAATAACACAAAACAACAATATTTACTAATTAATCTAAATCTAAATATCCAAAAAAAATGATACAAAATTACAAGCGAGAGAAACGATACAAAATTATAAACAATACTAAATACTTTAATTTATTAATCTTTACTAAAATAATCCAATACTAAATAACATTTAATTTAAGAAAATATATTAAGAATATAAATAACAGAGGAGAAATTACAAACACTACTATAAACTCGAATCATACAAATTCAATAGTCAATTTTATTTTTTTCATAATCAATAAAAAAAAAAGCATAACTTGCAAAAAAAATCTAATTTATTAAAGAAAATATGTTTAATATATAAAATATACAATATTAAATTCAAGTTATTTGACAAATTAGATATCAAAAGATATATTAAAAAAATATATTTAACATTAAAATATACAAAATTAAATTCATATACAAATATGAATTATACAAATTCAATATTTAGTGAACAACACGAAATAACAATCTTTACTAAATAATCTAATATTAAATAACGTTTAGTTTAAGAAAATATAATACGAATATAAATAACTGAGAATAATGATATAAAATTAAAAACACTACTATAAATTCAAATTATACAAATTCAATAGTCAGGTCGTATCTTTTGGAAGTTGGTTGAATTTTTGATAGTTATATTTGGTCATTTGATAACATCTGTAGACTTAGTTTATTTATGGGAGTATTGTTTTAATTTTTATTTTATTAGTTATGAATTTTGTTATTATTTAGATAAAATTGATTATGAATGTTAAAATCGTGGATTTTGAATAAAAATAGAACATTGAATATTGTCAAAAATTATTTTTTCAGATGTTTGAATTATTATGTTTCAGTGGTTATAACATAATTTTCGTGATGTAAAAATTTAATATGAAAATATATACTATGAATATAGCTTGATGTTATAAAAAATATTAGCGGACTCATTTTGTTCGTTATTTACTACAATGCTATATTTTACTTTACATGCATGTATGGATAAATATTTATAACTAATTTATGAGTAACATTACGCCTTCAGACCAGGATAATTGCTAGTATATATATATAATACTGTGCCCCCGTCACATCCAATTTCGATATCATTTCACGTTTCATGTATATAGCAATTCACAGGTTTCACTTGACTCAGTAAACTCCAAGATGTCTCGGTCGACAGAGTAATCATCGTAGACACGCAATGTATCGACCGACAGGGTTCTACTACATCGTGATAAGGTCTTAATAACTATCTTGTTCAACTTATTTTTCTATATGCATCTCAATGTCAGCGGAGCCAATCATCCTCGAGCAACATGGTAGAGGGGAAAGGGACATAAATTGCACATAAATGAGGGGTGGCAGCGTTTTGGATTCGTGAAGCAAAAGCCACTCTATTATCTTTCATGCCTTGTGGGCCTTTCTTCTTAGAACGACGAAGATGGAGAAATTAAAGTATTGAAATTTTAAAAATTAATTTAATTAGTTGATTTAATGATGTGATAATGACATGGTCTTTTTTTTTAAGGTACAAAGTGTCCAGATTTGTGTTGATTGCTCTCTCGAGATCAATTGATTTAAAGCATGTTCTTAAAGGACAAAAATGATTAACCCTTAAAAAGTGTGTGGAAAGAAATTTAACCTAATACATGTATATTATCAAAGACTATGTTCAATCATTGGACCGCCTCGAAGGGTTAACAATGACATGGTCTACTAGTAGTGTTATGACTCTAATTGTTGAATATTTCGTGGAAATTATATAACTTCATCATCTTTATATGAATTTTTTTAGCTCTAATAACATTACTATTTAGTATAAATTGCATATACCATTTCTCATTAGTTTGTGATGTAGTGCTTACACTTATACATTGCACAAACCATTGTCAAAATACTTGCTTGTCAGGCATATAAGTTGATTTGTTTTTAAAAAATATTTCGACAATTTAACAAGTAATAATAATTAATTAAAAATGTATAATATTTTATAAATAATATATACCATATAACATTATCGTATAATATCTAGTGAGCACGCAATTTCACGTGTCATCGTACCCTACTAGCAAAAGTCAAGTACTGGCACCTAAAAAAGGGTCCAAATTCAGATGATTGAATCTATGAATCCCTTGACTTTTCATAATTTGTTAGTTAAGTTTCGTCTTTGATATTGGAAAAATGTTATATAACATAAATAAAATTAAAAAATTTAAATTTAAATGTATATTATTTTTTCAATGAGTATGAGATAAGTATAGGGTGAACTAATTGGACGAGTGTCTGCCATATATCTGCCTTGATTTCTCTAACGGGTCAAAAATACTCCTATGAATCTTATTGTCGCCCTCGCATTCTCCATCTTCAAACTAGTATTCTTCAACAACTTGTAAAAATAATTTAGATAGAAAAAGATTTGAAGTGTGATTGGCTCGAAATTCCAAAGTTTAAATATTTTAATTCATTTTATGTATAATTATATGCATTCAAAGTTTATGAAACCATCACGTGTTGGAAGAAAAAGTGAAGTTTTTATTGAGTGTATAAGATATTCGTTTATAATAGAATATGTGAGAAATAAGTAGTAGACAATTACATCTTATTTTAAAATATAGTTATATAGAACTCTAGCATATGTTCACATGACATAAAAGCGCCTTTTTTTTTTTTAACTTTTAAAATGTTTGAGTCAGTTTACGCATATCTCGACTAATCTCTTCATTGGTTTAGTCAAAAGGGGGTCATCCATGTACGGACTAGAGTATTCACAAGAAATAAATTTCTTATAACTTAATCCCAAAGGTATTGTTAAGATCGAAATTAAGATGTTTAAATTTATAATTTATCTCTATTACCACTAAACTAGTAAAACTCGTATCATCATTAAGAGGATAAAAATTAAGTTAGCGTAATCTAATGACCGTTGTCCCGCAATTAAACTTTAATGTTGTCACATATTCGAATCTCCTCCTCCTCCTGCTGTCCAACTTAAAAAATAAAAAATTAAGAGGCTAAAATAGCCATTATCTAAGGTCGTCCATTACAGATCAAAATGATGATAGGCGTGACAACAACATATCATCATTAAGTCATAAAAGGAACACCCCCCCCCCCCCCCCCCCTCCAATACCCCATTAAGTAAACAATAACAAAGCATATTTAGGTACTAATCCATGATTACGAAGCTTAACTAATCTAGACATTGTACTATAAATATAGCTGTTCTTTTGGGCTCTCAATCACCAACCTTTCGAAAGGGAAGAAGTTTTCGGGACTCAATCAATGGCCACCAAAGTGTATATTGTGTAAGTATTTAACTACACCATTTACTTCTGCTCTCCACCTGCACTCTCTCTCTAGAATCCTTTTGTTTTGTGGATAATTGCATGGTTTTATTGATCGTTTATTTGATCATTGTGCATTTTCGAGATTATACTCTGTTATTTTACCATCTGGGTATTGGGTTTTCTGGTATCGATCATTCTACGGTAGTAGTGAATGGCCAATTTGATGACTAGTAAAACTGGGAAAAGAAAGGCAAATGAGTCGGACTATAAATAAAATTTGGGTAATCAGACTTGTTTTGAAACTTGTAAATATGTTTCAAAAGAATGATCAATTCATTTTAAGTTTTAGTATATATCTGCATATGTAAAACCCAGTTAGAGTTTAAAGGCAGCCATTGGGTAATGGCCTTTCTAGTTCTCTGTTTGTGTGTCTGTATGCAATTTCACCATGTTGTTTTATTAACAAAATTCTCTCCGGGGATTTGACTCAGGAAACTTGAATATACCATATGCTTGTCTCAAGACTCTCTACTAATCAATTGATCTTTTGCCCAATCACCATTCAATGATAATAAATGCATATTTACGTAATACTTCTTGGTGTGATTTCCCTCCATTAAATTACTAACAACTTGCTTTTTTATCATTATATGTTATTTAGTTATTTACTCTTTCTTGATCTATTGATAGATTCATCTCACTTAAAGAGAATCAAGAGAACTTGTTTTCACATTGCATGATTATAGGAATGCATAGCTGTTCCTGTTTGATGAGCTGTTTTGTTTTGAAGGTACTTCTCTAAATGTTGGAGCTAGCAATTGGAAACAGCTTCCACCTAATACAACATACAGACATACACATCCAAGAGAAACATAGTGTATATAGAGTTGTTTGCAATTAGTTTAAAAGTGAAGCTATAGCCAAAAGCAAACAAGTCCAACACAAAAGGAGGAGTCTCTTTTTAACTAAATAGAGAATTATATTCGGGTTTGGAACAGGAGGGAAGACAATCTTTTTGGATTCTATAGAAGAGCAACCCATCTATAGCTTCCATGTTGCTCACATATGTGCCTTTTGGCATGCATCACAGTACCAAATTATTCCATTAAATTTTTACTATTTTTACTCTTAAAAGGAAAAACAATTTTTTGCATTTTTCTAAAACATTCACTATTATGCCTGTACTTAAATCTAAAAGTTGTATAATTCGTCGTATCATTCAATGGTGCATTCAGCCCTTTCTTCTTTATTAGTTTACTTATTTTGAATTGATGTCAACTTGTATAAGTCTAGCCTTATGCCAAAAAATGATTTTCCATGTAGGCTCAGTGGGCCATGCCCATGCCTTTGTGATTAATGGTGAGTTACCTTAAAATCATGGTGATATTTAGTACAGCAAGAGTGGGAGGAGGGTGTTTTTAGTGTTGACCTATTATCTGGCTTTATTTGCATGAGGTTTGAAGCAGTGATCTCGTTGCTTGGCACATCTAGCTTTTACAGCTGCACCAATTAATGGTTCCTAAATAAAGAAAATTAATTACATAATGACACATTTATTTGCTCAGCTTTTTGCTTGCATTGAGAACTAAATACATCCAAGTGATACGAGGTTAAATTGTTTCTGCTTCTGCTTTGTTCTTTCCTTCCATCGACAGGTACTATTCTATGTATGGACATGTGGAGAAACTAGCAGAAGAAATAAAGAAAGGGGCTGCATCTATTGAAGGAGTTGAAGCCAAACTATGGCAGGTAGATGCTTTTTCTTTTTCTGTTTTTGATTTCCTTTTGGTATAAAAGATCAAAGACAAGCAAAGCGTAGATAAGCATCTCTGCATGCTGCATATATGGAAATACTACCTTGATCAGCCTTTTATAAATGTGGGAAAAAGTTAATTGAGGCTTCTGTAACATTGAAATATGTGTGCTCTGTATTATTTATACATGTGCATGCTGTTTGCATCCTATAAATTACAAGGTCCAGTTTGTGCGATAGAATATTCAGTATACAATAAAATAAAGTAGCCATGATCAAAAGGAAATTTTGGGGGGAAATCCACTCCCTTCCCGCTAAATGGAAAAAACAAAAGTTAATGGGTAAAGAAAAGTAAATGGAGATGACACGAATGAAGAACCAAAGAGATGCCTTTGATTGTCTGAGTTGATATCCACAACTTTTAGCACTAGAGATGCCTGACAGACAAGGATGTCGAGTCTGTAACATGGATTCATACTTATTTGTTGAATGAACTCATGGAGAAAAATGTTTCTTCTGTAGAATCTAGCTTCATTGACCTGTAAGGTTTGAGTGAACGGCTACTACTCAGCTATCATCAAATGCTTTTTTGCAACTGTTTGGAGGTCAAGTGCACAACTTCTTGGACATTCTACTTGTACCATGGCGTCCCTTAGTGGTGCTGATTCCACTTGGTGGTGTTGTCATTGTTCATTTTTAGCATCTTAATTAGTCCTACCTTATTCAATTCTACGCTGGGATTTGCTGCCTCCTGCACCATATGAATCATTTACTTATTGTTACACTGCCTTGTAATTTTTAGCTTCACGTTTTTTATGCTTGCTTAAATCTGAACATCTTCCTTTATATGTCCCAACACTTTGCTTTATTACTCTTTGTTGATTTATGTTATGAGGGATTTCAGTTAGGTAAGAGCTAATTGACATGATTTTGACTTCATTAAATTTTTAATAGTGCTTCTAAGCTGGAAATAGTTGTCTCCAATATTTGGCTTGTTCATCATCATCTTCTCTCTATATCTCTTGCACACATACAAAATGAAACTAAACGAAGGACCAAAACCAGAACAAGAAAAGAAAGAAATGTGAAGACAAAAACTAAAAAAGGCCAAGCTCTCTCAAAGGCTGAATGTCCGAGTCGCAGCAACTTCTCTCTCCCGGACCTCAGGAATGCATTAGACTGAGAAATTGATTACTTTCTTCACTAAGCTTTCGGGAACAAACACTAATCTGTTTGGAAAATATGATTCATGCCCTATATCCTGCTTTTGGTTCATGCATTCTTTGCGTAGACACTAGAGTTTCCTGCTTGACTCAAGCTCCCATATTAGCACGAAGCAGTTATCCTATTGCTGACAGCTTACTTGAAGACATGATATCTTTGCGTGGTCAGGTCCCTGAGACACTACCTGATGAGGTGCTTGGGAAAATGAGTGCACCTCAAAAGAGTGATGTTCCAGTTATTACCCCTAGCGAACTTGCTGAGGCTGATGGTTTTGTTTTTGGCTTTCCCACGAGATTTGGAATGATGGCTGCTCAATTCAAAGCATTTCTTGATGCAACCGGCGGTCTTTGGAGAGCACAGCAGCTTGCAGGCAAGCCTGCTGGGATCTTCTATAGTACCGGATCCCAGGGTGGTGGACAAGAAACTACTGCGTAAGTTCCTGCTTGAAAATCCCATCTTAGCTTGAGTTGAAAATCCCATCTTCTACAGTACCGGATCCCAGGGTGGTGGAATTAACTTTCCTCTCTCTCCTTTTTCTATGTAATATGCATTATAGGTTGACTGCCATTACTCAGCTGGCTCACCACGGTATGATCTTTGTGCCCATCGGATATACATTTGGGGCTAGAATGTTTGAAATGGAGAAAGTGAAAGGTGGAAGTCCTTATGGTGCAGGAACTTACGCTGGCGATGGCTCAAGAATCCCATCTGAGCTTGAGTTGGAGCAGGCTTTCCACCAGGGGAAGTACATTGCCACCATCACCAAGAAACTCAAGGGAGCTTCATGATTCTTATTCAATAAGAAGATACCGTTTGGCATTCTTATACTAATTCTTTCCGTAAAGAATGCATATATCCTACTAATCCCAGGTTGCAAAAAATTATTCCTGCTTTGTTGGATTCAAGATTTGTATGTGTTCTCCAAGTACAGAGGTTTCTTTCAATGATAAAAGTGTGTTTGATCAATTGTGTTACCAGTTTCCTTCTGATTGTTATTTATGATGTGTCTTCTTCGAACAAGAACAGAAGATTGTAACAGGTTCTATTAGAGAACAAATAACTAAATTAAAATCTGGATTGATGTGATGTTGCTTGGCATTATAGTGTCAGATCCCTGTGCAGACCAACTCTACAAACTTGATTGTTTGAGCTCATCAACTTTGTGATTTGTTATTTACCGAAAAAAAAAAAATATGTGATTTTTGTTGGCCTGAATTAGGGTGCAACTTGGTCAAGTTAACCGAATTTAACCTGAATTTAACCTAGAAAGATAGGGCCCAACTTGAACTCAACCTAGAAAAATAGGCTTGGGTTGAGTCTGAGTTGAAAAATACTAACCCGAATTAAATTTAGGCAATACTTAGGTTGAGGTATCAAATTACCGAATTTACTCCAAATATATAAAATTGGGCTCAATTCAAATATTAAATCAGGCTCAACTTGAACATATTTAAAAATAAATATATAAATCAAAAAATTCAATAGTATATTTTATAACTAGGGTTCACTCTTTACAATTCACATTAATGAGCTCATTCCAAATTTTAACCCGAAATCCGTCATAATTAAATAACCCGAACTCAAACCGAATTCAATCCAAACCCGTCTGAATTCAACTTAGGCAGTACTCGAATTAAGTACCTCAGATTGAGATCGAATTAGAATTGAAGATCATATGTTTAGAGTTGGACTAGAATTGACTTCTTAACCCATCCGAGTTACACCCCAACTTTCAACACCCCCCTTCCCTTTCCGACACAAAAAAAAAATCCCTCCCATTTTGGGTTATGCAAACCATAATTGCAGGATTTGTTTATTAGTCTAATCTATTTCGTAATCGCCGACTAATTTAGTAGTGCGTCCATCTGCCAAGCTGCTAGAATAAACAAATTCATTATTAAATTCAGCAATGCGTAGTGGCAAGTTGGTTGGTGTTGTACCTGTAGCTCACAGGTTGTCTGCTCTGCTTACGTCCATGCTGACATGATTGAAACACATACGCACACAAATGTAGCACAATTACATTCCCCCCCCCCCCAAAAAAAAAAAAAAAAAATTCTTGTTCCTCTTGAAACCAGCAGTAATAAAAGGATTAAACGCCAATCACCAATCCCAACATCGAAAAATGCTTATGCTCTAAATAGTAGTGGGAGACCTCAATGAGGATAATTTGCCTCTAATCATATTCAAAGTCACATGTAATATTGTTTTAGCACTCCTAGTTATATTGTACAAGATTCTTAAGTTCTTTCTTTTCAAACATAGTAAACTACAGCTTATAAACACAGTTTAAAAATCGAATTCTGCAAAAAAAATTTCTTCCTGTTATCTATAGTTATACTAATGAAGCTATCCGAAGATAAATCCTCCAAGAAAGAATGACATCGATTAATAATATAATTAATAGAATAAGAGCACCGAAAGAATAAATGGCAAAAAATAGTATTACAGAAAATACACTGAATATCAGTATCGTTTAAGTATATATATTTGGTGTGAAACTTCCTTTGAATCGCTAACCACAGCATAAAACTCCACCTTGGCACTGAATCTCCAAACCAAATGATATGAGACCATGTAACAAGAGGATGATGAAGTCTAATAGCATTCCAAGCTGAAGCTACATAATAGCATCAATTAGCAGACAGGCTCCCCTAGATCACCTCTTTCCTAGTACCACAAGGTAAATAAGTAGGCAAAGACTCCTCAATTTCCCCTCAAATATTCGTAGGGCCAACACCACATATTCTGATCAATAATAGATTTTGCAGTAGAGTCCAAAGATATACATGAATTATATAATTTTTTAAATGTTATCCTTTTCAAATTTTGGTATTCAATATTTGACGCATGAAACTTTGTCATCAGATAAGGTATAACCGAGTCAAGATGCCTATAATTTTCAAAACTCCATTTATAATAGAGAGAATGCTTTAAGGGTGCCAACGAATCTTCTTGTCTAAAGGAAGCTTAGCTTGAATTAGGAAATCACTCAGAAAGAATCCTATATCATCTTTTTTTTTTTTTTTTGTCCAATAGTCAGGAGTGTCCGAGTCAGTTTACTTATATCTCGACTAATTTTCTCTTCGATTCGGTTAAAGACAGACAATCCATACTAGGATTAAGGTATTCATAAGAGATAAATCTCTTATGACTTGACCTTAAAAAATTGTCAATATTCGAGTTCAGAACACTCAAGACACAAATCACCACAACAGTGCTGTGAAATCATTGTCTGGTCCTGTTTTTCAACAAGAAAGTAATTTATCAAATGCATCTGAGTTAACACAAATGAAAACTCCAGACAACGTTGGCATTGGAAGACATGATATATTATTGTTGTGATCGTGCAGTAATTATGGTGAATAGTAAGGAATCAAACAATTAAGAAAGCAGGAAAAAATAACACACAGAGATTTACGTGGTTCGGCAATGTGCCTACATCCACGAGAGCGAGCGGCTGTTCTTTTCCTTATAGAAGTAGGGTTACATCTTAAGTATTTATATAACCCTAATATGGACGTATTTATAAAAATACCCCTGTACCGTATCGCGGGGGCGTTGCCCCCGCACCCCCAACTTATCAGCGTCCCCTATATATAAATCCCGCAAGGCAGATACCGTCACAGGCTCCGCTCCGGCATCTGCCTCCTTGCCATTATGCACATAGCAAATATATGAGCTACACATACTCTAACATCTTTTTTGTTTTTTGTTTTGGAGAATAAGATCGTCTCATATTGGCGTGCACATGACATGATCGTAGTAATGATCAAAGCTTGTCTATGCTTTTCTTTTTGTATTCATTTACGCTTCTAAGTAAAGCTAACTCGTTCAAAAAAATTCAAAATCTAGTTCTAAAGTACTTGATGATATGGTTGAGGTCCCTATTTTGGTAGATATGCTACAATTTCAAATCATGTACAAAAGCACTTCAATTTTAGGACTTTATTCTCCTAATATCGTTATTTTAAAGTCATTTCTCATTCTTATATTAAGTGTCTAAAAGCATGAATTTAAATGAAACTTTTCAATGCCAATACCTGATTCCGAAACTTGCTTTTAATATACTTTAACTTCGTAGTTGAATGTTACATTCACATATGTGATACATGTTTTTTATGCAGACTAGTCTTTCATCCTTTGCAACCCAATGATCCTTAGTAGTTATCATCTCTTTAATGTTGTGACATTAGTTTTGTAATTTTGAGCAACCTTAACTTTGTACCGAGATGTCGCATTATTATATGTGATATATGTTTTCTGTGTGGAATTTTATTCTCCATGCACTAATTATAGTGTTATACCCCCTACATCATGAGCATCCTTTGTATTATTAGGCACCTCTTTTAGGTTCCTATTTTAACCCAATAAAGCCTTTTAATTTTGACCAACTTTAACTTCCCTTCCCACTCGGATGTCGTTGGATACTTAAATTAGTGTTTCAACTTAAAAGACGTGATAAATACTAAGCTTCATCATGTTATAGAGGATAAAACGTGATAATCAGTGCATAAAAAAATGAAATTCCACATAAAAAATATATGTCATATTTATAAATGCGATATTTAAGTACAAAGTTAAGTTTACTCAAAGTTAAAAAGTTGTATTTGTTAAACTAGTGTTCCAATCTGAAAGATGTGGCAAATGCTAAAGGTCACCATGTTGAAAATGATGGAACACCATAATTAGTGTATAGGAAATGAAATTCCACATGTAGTACATATATTACATTTGTCAATACGATATTTTAGTTTGAAGTTACAGTTGGTAAAAATTAAAAATTTTTGTCAGAATAAACTAGTGTCTTGTATTTTTGTGTAACGACAATAGATTAAGAAATATGTTCCAAACCACTATATATAGAGGGAGAAATATGGGTAAATTAAAAATCAATAATTTAAGGGAGAGAAATCCTACAATATCCTCCTGCCAATAAATTGAAGACTTAGAATTAAAGAAGATACCATCAGTGAGTAAATCATAAGTAACTGTGTGTGTGTGTGAGAGAGAGAGAGAGAGAGAGAGATGCGTTTTGGCTTCTCTTTACTTTCCAATGGATGCACTTCAATGTGACCATTCGATGAAAAGCGCAAAAGTATGGTTGATAGCTCCTGTACCTATATCCCCCCATTTCTTAAAAACCCTAAAAAGAGGCCGCATGGGTCACCCTCTGACTTCCACTAACATATTCCAAACATATAAACAAATCAAAAGTTAGATTTCCAATCAAATGATCCCCCCCCCCCCCCCCCCCCACCCCAACCCACACACACACTTATTCCTATTCTTAACTTCAAATTATTCCTTTATTTCTCTTCTTATTTACAGTACAGTGCAGTGCAGGTTCTATGCACGAAAAGGTACAACAACAAAAGCTTCTTTATCCTTCCTTGAGTTAAATTCAGCTACAAACAACAGATTAATCCAATCTAAACTAATCTATACTTTCTCTAAATCTACCATTTGTTCACTCCTAACGAATCTTTGATCATAATTCGTTAATTATTACAAGACTATATTCCTGTCCAATGGTCCCTAATATTGTCCAAAGCTGCATCATTTTGCCTGTAGCTGGTCCAGCAGTCCCTGTCCTTTAAAGGGTGATCTCCTTTTCTCTCTATCATTCAGCATATTTTTTTCTTCTGAATCCATCTGGAGAAGAACAGTTACACGGCTCCAGTGTACTTTTCTATCTTGTCATTCCCCTAGAGTTCGATGAAATACTACTTGCATTGTACAGAATTGGTTTTTTTGAGTCGTAATTTCACTAGATTAAGTTGTAATCTTAGTTCCGAAAAGAGAAAAAAAAAAAGAAAAGGAAT